TTCAACCAATAATATCCTGACATTCACCCATCAATCAATCTTCAACTTTCAGCGAAGATTCATTCATTAATTAGCTAGCTAGCTAGCGTAGCATATCCTTATTGTAATAAATACTTGGTGATTAACTAAAAAGGTGAAATATCAGAAGATTAACTAGGACGTTAGGAGGAATAATTACACAGATGACAGTAAAAAAACTCAGGAAACAAATTCTTTTGCAAAAAGGTACCATATATTATTAAATACATAACAACACATGGCCATACAAAGTTTCGTTTCATTCTTTTTTTAATCTCAAACACACGAGTGAAAGTTATAACCAAAATATTTCAGTTTTCCATAGAATCATAAACAACTAAAGACACACATTAAATAACCAGCACTTATCCACAGCACTATAATGATTGATTTACTCATATCCAGCACTGGGGAAATTGTCCAAGGATAAAGTTCATTTAGTCAGTTAGTTTCCGTCAGAGTCAAAATAGAGGAATGGGAATATGCTGGTTCAACGAGTGAACTGGGGATGTGTGAACAGTGAGTCTGGTTGCAGATAGCCTACCGCACTGGCAGGGATGTTCCAAGAAAAGGTTGGCTCCTGGTTCTTCAGTTAGCTCACCATCTTGTCCTCTTTCAAAAGCTGGCTTATATAAACAGACAGGTCCATAAGTGGTTCTAACAATTAATGATTATGATAGTGTAAATATTCTATACAATACATTACATATTAAGGCACGGTGAATACTTAGAGTACATTGTTTACATTCTAGATGCATTACATTAAGTTATTACAATCAAAATTACATTTATATTACTGCCCCTTTTATATCACACATACATCACTACTATGCCCCCACACTGTATATTTAACAGTTAGTTGCTTAGCAACACAATAAAACATTAAACAAAACCAGTAGGCAAAATTACTGCTGCGTGATTCAACAGCATTTCTACTAATCAGTATCTTAAAGGTCTTTCCGTACAGAGCTGAGGCATAGCATGGCTAGCTAGTGGAGCTCACTGATTACTGTACAAACACACAACTTTATCAGAGATTTGGGTGAAACTGGATCAGATTTTATTTTATTGTCTGGTTTTCCCTCTGACGTCCTCCAGCTGCTCCGACTCAACTATTATTATATAACTACTATTCCCTGTTGTCAAACTGGCCTCCGTCAGCATTGGATGACGTATTCGGTCCCAGTCTGGTTGTGCTATTTACTGGGAGCTCCCAGTTCAGTAAAGTCAGCTAATAGGAGCACTACACTGTAAAGTTAAAGCATTAATCTTAAAATATGTATATAAAAAATATTGTTGAGGATGGATGGAACTGCACCAAGATTACAGCATGACGTAGATGCACAATGTAATATATTTATAAGATAAAGAGAGTGTGCTTATATAATATGTATAAATATAAACATAACTGAAGTAAATATGATAAATAGAGCATAACATTGTAAAAACAGACTCTGTTTGGCCTGTAAATTATGTATTCAGCTCATAAATCACACACTCGCTCTCTCCTAAATGATTGCACATTATCCGGTTGTAGTAATAAAAATTATTGAGGGGTTTTGTTTTGTTGTTTTAATCACACAGCGAGAGGAAAACTCATTTTATAGACTGATCTCCTCGCTGATCACAAGAAGAGTATTCTCAACAGATTCCCTGCAGTTATTCGCTTTCCTGAACCAATTTCCCGTCTTTGTGCGGAGGAGATGATAATGAAGTGATACATTTATTACAGCGCTCCCAAAAACAGAGAGAAGCATTTTGTGTCTCTCTGCATATTTTCACCTCGTGCTGTTGTTGCATTATCGGCAGTGTTGGGGAAGTGTTACGAGTGATTGAGTTTCTTTTATTTATGCACACAACTCTCGTGGGTGTACAAGAAAACAAAGGCACAGTTGGGTTGGTCAAACATTTGATTTCAGTACAGAGTTACAGGTTGTTTTACTGCTTGGCCTTTTAAACTAAATATCTGCTACATGATCCAGTCAACAGAAATCAACAGTAAACAAAACAGTTAATGGTATTTTAAATTTCACCTTGTTCACACAACACACATTAAACCTGTCTGTCTGCTTTAAATTGGATCTTTTCTTTAAATTATTCTTCACATAAAGCTCTACTGTAAAAAACTAAGTGTTGATATTTATGGTAAAAAAATCATTTATATGGTATTTTTTATGGGAAAATAGTTTCTTTTGATGGTAAAATATGGAATAAAACTACTAATTAAACTTTAACCTTATATAATTACAGTTCACCATAATCACCTATATGGACAATATTTCAGCAACCACTGCACTGAATTGGACAATATATTAGTGGTTTAGGATGGATGCTGAATCCTTTTCTGACAAATACAAAATGGCCATTTAAACCAGTCGTGACCAAATCTCAACTCTCAAATTTTGTATTAATTTTGAGTCGATTATTAGGTTATTTACATGCTTAATAAATTGGACCTGCAATTTAGAATGAAAGAGTTCAATGCAATGTGAATGTTCAGTCTCTGTATTACATGGACAATATTTACTGATGGGCCGATTTGGACATAATTTGAGTGGTTTTGTGGATTACTGAGGACGCTGAAGCAATTTCTGACATTTTACAAAATACAAAATTTCCATATTTCAACTGCTGGTGGGTGGATTTTGATTCATTTTGAGATTCATTTTGGCAAGTAGACTATAATACAAAATCAATCTAATAAATTATGTATTATTACAAATTAAGCTACCCAATATTAAGAAAATAATTATCTATATTTTTAATGCACTTGTGTCAGTTTGGTATATGATAAACAAAGTTCAGGTATCTGGAAGGAAAAAAATTGTATCAGAACAATTAAAATGAACTAATTAATTTTTTTCTTAAGCAAAAATCTGAAAAATGCTAAATATCCAATAATCAGCCAGGTCGATAGTCAGTCTCTTCCTAATGTTTACTTCTTGTAAATTCACTGAAACCCGAAACACCACACGTCATGAATTAAAGAGTTGTGTACAAGTATGAAATCCCAGATTAACTTTTTATGTAAACTTTTTCAGACCGAAACTAGAAACACATTCATATCAGTGACTGAAAGAGGCTTTAGGGTCTTTTGGCAACACACATCCGACATGTGGGGGATGAAAGTGGAGCTGACGATACAACAATGTGTTATTAAAGAACACAAAGAGCAGCTACAACAAGATGCAACTTGTGGCTACAGTTTGCACTGCAGCCTGAGGTTTGGTCTTTTATATATACAACAAAAACCTGTTTCCCTGCGTGCTTATTGAATGCTGCTGCAAAGGAAATCCTCATCTATCACCAGTGCATTAGAAAGCTGAAACATTTCTCTGCTATCAGATTTTACTGTAGCTGCGCTGGAACTACTACGCCTCTGTTTGGCCAGATATCAGCTGGAAGGAGAAAAATACACTCAACAACAACAGAGAGCCAGCAGCTTCTTTTAACCAACTTAAGTCTCTCATCGACACTTACACATGTTTTTTGAGCTGTAAACTAAATTTATAGGAGTATACTGTGATGAAATACATCAATAATGGTGCTAAAATTTACATTATTGCCTAATTTAAATGTTTACGCCCTCTAATCAGAGGAAAATAGCCATGAATGTGCTTCTAGTGACTGTAAAAGCTCCAGCGGGGACACTCTGGTTGGTGTCGAGGCCACGCCCTCTAAAGTCACTGTCCTTTGCAGGTCTCTGATGCTTTTTTTTAACTTTTTCTAAGATGGAGCGAGCAGGCAGAATTTCACACTAAGTTAAGACACAGCTTTACAACTAAGTCATCAGGTTAAACATGTTTATGTAAAGCATTTATTTAGAGGTGAAAATGAATGTATACGTTGACCTTTCCCCTCCTGATACATCTGTAATAAGTGGGACCTGATGTGCCCTAACACAGCATGTTATTTGTGCCGTGTGCGTCATATTACAATGCCAATAAGTGGCTATCAGGATTTACCAGGTGTTTTTTTCTTTGCTCAGTGGAGCTTGTGGTAAAGCTGCAGAAACCTGCACTGAATGCCAACATTTCAGTAAGTGTAAAATATCTTAACTGATTGGATTAAAGCCAGAAATGTAAAAAAAAAAAAAAAAAACGTAATTTTTTAACATTTTGATACTTTTAAACAGCCAGACTGGAAGATACATGTTGTTTGCATACAGAGCCAAACACTGTATGCAGGAGCACAAAGAGAGCACTGGGTGAAGGAGACCCTTGCCCTCTTTTCCAAGTTCCCTGTTTAAAAACCACCCACTCGCTCATGCATATTCATCCCCTCACCTAATTACTATTCACCCCTAGCAGTGCGGTTCCAGGTGCCGGCGGTAGTCGAGGGCTGCAGGAAGGGCGGCGTGCAGCAATGTTGTGTTGACCCCAATTCATCTCCGAGGGAGGGGGGTCTTGGCCCAGTTTGACTCTGTGTTCACCTGTGTGAAATGTTTACTGCTGATATAAAAAAATATGGAAGACAAACAGTAGCAATTAACAACAATGAAACAGATTCTTAAACAGCAAAATAGACACAAAAACACGATTCTCATATTCAGTTGATTATACACTAATAAAAATATATCTATAAATATATTATATAATTCCCATATTTATTCCATATATTTGCTGTATATAATATGTTTGTAAAGGGGCAAAAAAAATTAAATGTACTTTAATTGAATGAATGAACTGATCTCTGCTGCACTGCAAAGACAGAACCTATAGAAACAAATATTCTTAAATATATAAATACTTCTGTCTACTGAAAGACTATAATCGGCCTTAAAACTAGAAAAAAATGACAAGAATGTAATGAAGTTGTTCTTATTACAAGCAATGAAAACTCAGTTATTTAAGATTCTTAAAAGATTAAAATCAGCAAAAACGATAAGACATTTCTTCTAACTTTGTCTTGAATGAAGGCACCAGAAGCATTATTTTTTTTTTGTTAAAACAATTAAAACTGCAGGAAAAAAACATTAATCTATATCAACGTTAGCTAGCTTGTTTTTTTAGCATTTTGCTACAGCCCAAACCGATAGCTAACTAGCGAGCTAATCTACATAAATACATATTTTTTGATTGTTTTGTTTTTGTTTGATTGCTTTTTCTTCTCTTAGTTACTGAATGGTTCAGATTATGTTTGTATGTCGGTGTTCATTCATCTTAATGTCTCCCTAAAGGACAATAACAAGACACTGCATGCACTGTTAACAGTCACTGGGTTTTCCCAATATATTCTCACAATAAACTACTGTAATGACATTTGCAATGCATGATGGGTAATTATTTAAATATTTCAGGCAGATGTTGTGAATTATTACAATATATTGTTTCACATTAAAATACTGTATTTTTACAGTAATATTATGACTGGTTACTGTCAAAAACATGCTACTGTGAATTTACTGCAATTATTAGCCCCGTAATTTACTGTAACAGTACAATAATATATTTTACGGTGTTTCCTTCTGTCTCAGGCTCCGCCAACGGCCGATATGGCTGCTCCAAGATCTTCGTCAACCACCGCTGTTTCTCAGGACCTTACCTCAACAAGGGACGCATTGCGGAGCTGCCGCAGGCCGTCGGACCCGGGAAATGCACGCTGGTCCTCAAGGAGGTGGGCTGATGTCGGGAGCAGTGGGGGGTGGGGGAGGAGCAGGTTTAATCAAAGAGTTGCACACTTTTAAAAGCGAGAGGAGGGAGGAGGTGAAAGATGGAGGGGGTGAGACCGAGATGTCTTGTTAACCACCTGCAGTTTCCCAGCAGTGCCTCTGTTTTAATGTGAGAAGCTGTCAGTCAAGTGTGTTTACACTTACACACCGCCACTGCCGCTTAATTTCTCCAGAGACCGTGATTGTGTGTGCACATTTGCAGACGAGTGTAATCCGCATTTTGTTTTCCAGGTTTTGTTCTTTCATGTGTAGTGCTGTCGCTCTGATAGTTCTCGAGAGTCTTTTTTCTTCATTGGAAGTGTTTCTTCTCACCTCCAGCTGCTGAGCATGCTCATCAACGCTGCCTACAAGCCCGGACGAGTCCTGAAGGAGCTGCAGGAGCTGGAGGATCAGAGCTGGGACTGCCACGAGGAGACCCTCAAAGCCAAGTGAGGAAAGCAAGGAGCAGGAGGGGAGAGTTTAAATCATAAATCTAGAGTATGAAGTGTTCCTAATAACCGACTATCATCACATCTTCCCCTAATGAATTCAATGGAGGGCCTCAAAATGGACTCATGTGGACTCAGGAGTCCGTTTTGCGGCCCTCTGTTGATGCTGCTGCAGCGGTTCGTGTGAGGTCTGTATTTCCCCTCCACTGCTGGCTGCACAGAGCCAAATTATTCCACAGCTTCAGGCTGCGTGCGCTTTCTAATCAAAAACTGACCCATTTTTTTTCAGCAGAAACAAACAAGGAAGAATCGGTTTTAAATTTACACCAAAGCAACCGACCCCGCCTTAAAAAAGTGAATTAAATAATACAGCATACATCAATTACTGGCATAGTTGTGCATAGTGAAAGTGAAACTGTACGGCAGGACGTCCCCCTGGAGAAAACTTTAAGTAAAAAATGACAAAATGTTTAAATATAGGCAATATTTTGCATTTTTGGTAACAATGTGAGCACCTCTGTTCGGACACATTGAATCTGAGGTCAGATTTGTCCTCAAGCGCTGCCAACAGATCAGATCACCTTTCCTAACCTCAGCCATTAG